GCAGAAGTTGCAGTGAGCCAGGATCACACCACTGCGCTCCAGCCTGGGTGACAGAATGAGACCCTGTCTCAAAAGAAAAGGAAGGCTGGGCGCGGTGGCTCACGCCTGTAATCCCAGCACTTTGAGAGGCCGAGGCAGGTGGATCACCTGAGGTCAGGAGTTTGAGACCAGCCTGACATGGTGAAACCCCGTCTCTACTAAAAATACACTTCTGTGTGCACTTCTGTCCTTAAGACTCAGCTCAAACTCCAACACAACCGGGAAAACCTTTCAACATCTTGTTACACACACATAACCACCTTTAATTTTCACAACCACCTTATGAGTTAGAGGAATTAGGTAACTGAACTTAAAGAAGAGTTTCTAGTTATATGTCGTGAATTGAGCTTCTCTCTGCTCACCGTAGAAATCACATCAAAATAAGAGTAAAGAAGTGAAAAAGGCCAGGGATGGTGGCACGTGCCCGTAGTCCCAGCTACTACGGAGGTTAAGGTGGGAGGATCACCTGAGCCTGGGAGGCCAGGGCTGCAGTAAGCCCTGATGGCACAACTGCTCTGCAGCCTGGGCAACAAAGTGAGACCCTGTCTCAAAAAATAGCCGGGCATAGTGTCTCACGCCTGTCATCCCAGCACTTTGGGAGGCCAAGGATCATGAGGTCAGGAGATCAAGACCATCCTGGCTAACACGGTGAAACCCTGTCTCTACTAAAAATACAAAAAATTAGCCGGGAGTGGTGGTGGGCACCTGTAGTCCCAGCTACTCGGGAGAATGAGGCGGGAAAATGGCGTGAACCCGGGAGGCGGAGCTTACGGTGATCTGAGATCAAACCACTGCACTCCAGCCTGGGCGACAGAGCGAGACTCCGTCTCAAAAAAATAAAAATAAGTAAACAAAAAATAAGACATGAAAGAACACAAGGACAAAGAGAAGACTACAGCAAATGAGAGATTTAGTTTGATAAATGGAAAGCCAGATGTGCAAGATAACTGACTTAAGTTTGGGGATTTTTCCATTCTGCTCATAATGTAGGGAGTGAAGAGCCAACAAAGAACAAAATAATCAGTCTTAGAACCCAGAAAGGCTCAAACACAGAAAAGTCCTTGGTCCTCTGAAAGCAGGGGAAGGAGGATTGGAAAATTCCTTTTTGGAGATGACTGACTCAGGAGAAGCGGATGGGAACTCAAAGGCTGCTCTCTCCCTCCTTACTCCCAGGGAAGCCCACATATGACAGTCTCTGCGCACCCCATCCATGGAGTTTCCAGGCAGCTCTCTCTTAAGTGGGGACAGACAGCCAAGAATCATCTGAGAGCTGAAGGCAGTCTCCAACATAAAAGAAACCAAATGAGGAGGAGCCCAGGGAGTAACAGATAATGAGGGGACCAGAAGAAAATATCCTAAAACTGCAATTACTATCCTTAGAAATTAAGATTGGCCAGGCACGGTGGCTCACGCCTGCAATCCCAGCACTTTGGGAGGCCGAGGCGGGTAGATCATGAGGTCAGGAGTTCAAGACCAACTTGGTCAAGATGGTGAAACCCTGTCTATACTAAAAATACAAAAATTAGCCAGGTATGGTGGCACATGCCTGTAGTCCCAGCTACTCGGGAGGCTGAGGCAGGAGAATCGCTTGAACCCAGGAGGCAGACGTTGCAGTAAGCTGAGATGCCACTGAACTCCAGCCTGGGCGACAAAACGAGACTCTGTATCAAAAAAATACATATATATATAAGAGAAGATATTGCACCCATGTTATAAAAACAGATTGCTTTTTTATTGTTTGTTTTTTGGGACAGTCTTGCTCTGTTGCCCAGGCTAGAGTACAGTAACGTGATCACTGCTCATTGCAGCCTGGACCCCTGAGCTCAAGTGATACTCCCACCTCAGCCTCATGAGTAGCTAGAACTATAGGTGCACTGCACCACAACCAGCTAATTTGTTTTTTGTTTTTAATTAAGAAAATGTAGAGGAATGGAGTCTTGCCATGTTCCCCAGGCTGTTCTTGAACTCCTGGGCTCAAGTGATCCTCCCGCCTCGGCCTCCCAAAGTGTGGGATTACAAGCATGAGCTACTACACCCAGCCCTAGTCTCTTAATAATACCCCCTAAAAACTAGAATACAGGCCATGGGAAAGGTGGCTCACGCCTGTAATCCCAGCACTTTGGGAGGCCGAGGTGAGCGGATCACTTAGTAACCTTAGGAGTTCTAGACCAGCCTGGACAATGTGGTGAAACCCCATCTCTACAAAAAATACAAAATCCAGATGGGCGTTGTGGCATGCACCTGTAGTCCCAGATAGTTGAGACAGTGAGGCAAGAGGATTGCTTGAGCCTCAGAGGTAGTGGCGGCAAGTCAGCCTGAGCCGTGTTCATGCCACTGCATTGCAGCCTGGATTACAAAGTGAGATCCTGTCTCAACACCAACAAACAAGATTCCTCTGGATGCTGAAACATTGAGAAAAATAAAAACAAACAAAAAGAAAACTGAAAACAATGAGGCAATGCCTTCAAAATCTAAAGAAACATTATTTTAAATGTAGAATTCTATACTCTGCCAAGATGTTTTCAGGCATACACAAAATAAACTTGCTGTGGTCCTTTCTCAGGAAGCTACTGGATGACAAATTCTGCTAAAACAGAGGATGAAACAAAAGAAAGCCAAAACATGGCATCTAGGAAATAAGTGATTCCCAGGATGAAGGTGTAGGGAAGGGCCAGAACTGCAACTTTGCAGCAGGTTTAGGACAACCAATCCACATTGGAGCAAGCTCAGGAGGCCATCACATGAGGTTAACAGGTTACCTACTGTATTTTACCAATTTGAGAGGAGGTTTCTATTTCTGAAAGTAAAAGAATAAAAACAAAAACAATGCTGGGTGTGGTGGTTCACGCCTGTAATTCCAGCACTTTGGGAGGGTGAGGTGGGCAGACTGTTTGAGCTCACGAGTTTGAGACCAGTGTAGGTAACCTGGCGAAACCCCGTCTCTACAAAAAAAATATAAAAATTAGTCAGGCATTGTAATCCCAGCACTTCAGGAGGCCGAGGCGGGCGGATCACAAGGTCAGGAGTTCAAGACCAGCCTGGCCAAGATGGTGAAACCCCATCTCTACTAAAAATACAAAAATTAGACGGGCGTGGTAGCACATGCCTGTAATCCCAGCTACTTGGGAGACTGAGGCAGCAGAATCGCTTGAACCCGGGAGGCGGAGGTTGCAGTGAGCAGAGATCGTGCCACTGCATTCCAGCCTGGGCAACAAGAGCGAAACTCTGCCTCAAAAACAACAAAAAATAAATTATAATATTCTATAGTAAATAGTATAGATAATGCCTAAAATGGAAAAATTAAGAAATAGCCATATAAGTTCATTCTTTGGGAATAAGGAAGTAAGTACAGGAAGAGCTAGCTAAGAAGTTAAATTACTTCTGGGAGTAGGCCTCAAGACTGCAGAGGGTTGGGGCAGGACCCTACCAATTTTTATTACAAATCTAACTTTTAAAACTGTATGGGCCAGGCACGGTGGCTCATACCTATAATCCCAGCACTTTGGGAGGCCAATGTGGGAGGATCACTTGAGCCCAGGAGTTCAAGACCAACCTGGGAAACAGACCCCATCTCTATAAAAAAAATTAAAAATTAGCCTGGCATGATGGTACACACCTATAGTCCCAGCTACTTGGGAGGCTGAGGCATGAGAATTGCTTGAGCCTGAGAGGCAGAGGTTGCAGTGAGCCAAGACAGTGCCACTGCACTCCAGCCTGGGCGACAGTGAGACTCCATCTCAAAAAAAAATTAGCTGGGTGTGGTAGTGTGTGCCTTAGTCCCAGGTACGCAGGAGACTGAGGCAGGGGGATCCTTTAAGCTAGGAGGTTGAGGCTACAGTGAGCTACGATCACACCACTGCACCCCAGCTTGGGCGACAGAGCAGACTTTAAAATTTTAAAAATATATACTTTTTTTTTTTGAGACAAGAGTCTCCGTCACCCAGGCTGGAATGCAGTGGCACGATCTCGGCTCACTGCAACCTCCGCCTCCCGGGTTCAAGCAATTCTCCTGCCTCAGCCTCCTGAGTACCTGGGATTACAGGTGTGTGCCACCATGCCCGGCTAATTTTTTTTTTTTTTGTATTTTTAGTAGAGACAGAGTTTCACCATATTGGTCAGACTGGTCTTGAACTCCTGACATTGTGATCCGCCCACCCTGGCCTCCCAAAGTACTGGGATTACAGGCGTGAGCCACCACACCCAGCCAAAAAAAACATACTTAAAAAAAAAATTATAAAGGGAATAGATGTTCCTTGTGAAATATTTAAACAGTATGATATAAAGTCTCAAGGTAAGGTTACTTGTAGTGTGGATTTGATGCGTGTACACTGAGAGGAAAACGCCAGCAGGGTGTTTAGGACAGCAGATATTCGGGAGACAGCATAACTGATGCAGGGAGGTGCTGGCGGGGAGGAGGGAGCCAGAGCTTCCTGCCTCAAGACCTTGACTCTGTAAAGATGTCAGGCTTCTGTTGAGAGTAATGGGGGAGTAGAGGAAGGTATAGTAGTTGCTACAAGGAACTGACTTGCAGGGCTGACCAGGGTCACTGAAGGCAGCGAGCGATAGGAAACTACTGTTTGGTGGTGACTCAACTGGTGAGACAGGTCTGAGACAAGTCTGGATTTTGATCCTGGTTCTACCTCTTCATTAGCTAAATATCCTTGGCCAAATAACCTAAACTTGCTGAACCTTAGAAGTACACATGAAAAAACTGAAAAGGTTGAGTACCATTCCACACTTGGGGTTCAGCTGTGTCAGAGTGCAGACTAAAAGTTATTGGCAAAAAGGTGGTTTAAACAAGGTCTTCGTTCATTAGAAATGGAAACATGGCTCCTGGGCCTGTAATCCCGGCACATTAGGAGGCCCAGACAGGTGGAAAGAGAGACATGGAGAACTCAACAAGGAAAGCTGTTCTTTAGGCCAGGTGCTCCTCCCCTCTCTCACACTCAACACCATCACTATTTGAAGCAAGAAAGGAAAAAAAGTTGCCAAGCTTTATTTAGGCTGTAATGGTTACAGATAACACACATCTAACCCTATATTCTGTGCTTCCCATGCAGTCCCCTGAGCAGGCTCAGCTACCCTTTCCCTCCAGTCTCACTTCTTGTCTTCTTCTTTCTTGTCCTTCTTGCTGTCCTTGGTGGCCTGGGAGGCCAGGGAGCCCATAGCATTTCGAATGGCTTCATTGTTGGGATCCACACCTGGGAGGTTCTCTAGGACACTCTGAAGGAACTCGGGGTCCTGCATCACGTCGTAATCATCCTCCTCCTGCAAACAGGCAGTGTGAGCTCAGGGGAGGGTGTGGAGCAGCAGGGAGTAAGCAGGTGTGAAGGACAGGAGCATGCTGCTGCCGGAGCTCCCCTGCCTTCTGACTGTGTGGGGATTCGGGCACCTCTGGCCGAGGTAAGGAAAGGACAAATCAGCAAAATCCTTTATGAATGCAAACAGTTATTACTGACCAAACAGAGGAGGCGCCTGTTGAGAACTCTGTTAATTGAGCTCTGAGAATAAAAACAGATTCCATCACACTGAGGTTTCCTGCTCTCAAGACACCCAGTTCTCCTTTTTCTTTTTCCCAGACCCTCTTTTCTCCCTCCTGGGTAGACATCCTAGAGAACTGCCCAGGCTGCTCCCACCAGCAAGGAAGGAAAATTACAGAACATGAGGACACTTCTCCAACTTTGACCACTAGCATTGCTACCTTAGCAAGGTTTACATGTAAGAAATGCATATCCATGTGTTTCCCTCTGCTCCTCAAAGGACTTAGCTATGGTAGAAATGCTCCCAGCCTCAGAGGGATGAGGATCTAAATTCAAGGACTTTAAACCTGACGCGGGGGCAGGTTTGGGTCTCACCTTGGCTGGCTCAGATGTGTCCATGGCTGAGCTGGCATCAATGTCTGCTGATTCCGCCTGGCCAAACTCTGAGGAAGAGAGGTCACTCTGTTCAGTTACCCTTCTTCATCCCAGTCCTCTGCCTAGGCACCACCCAGGCTCTGGCTCACCTGCTCCCTGCAGGGACATCTGCATGGCATAAGCAATCTGCTCTTCCTCAGTCATACTGCTTAGGTCAGGAAGCCCAGTGCGGCCAAACTCTTGCTGGCTGATGGTCATCTTCAGCAGGGCATCATCTGAGTCTGGGAAAAGGAAAAGAGGAGCAGGGTAGAATTGATGCCATATCTACACAGGCCAGCCTCCAAAGCCATTCCCCTAGCCCAGCCCTCCCACATATTCCTACTCTGTCAGACCTCCACACTCTCCCTGCAGTGCCTACACCCAGCTTTCAATGTTTAGCATCCCACAGCCCCAGGACTTCAGATTCCACCTCTTTCACCTTCAGTCCCAGTCGTAGCAATCCCGGCCTCAGCAGCAGAAGCTGCAGCTGCCCGCCGGGCCTCCTCCTCCTGCCGCTGCCGCTGCTCTTCCATAGATACACGAAGGGCCTGATGAAGAGCAGGGCACAATCAGGGCTCCCCTGCCCTCACTCCTACAGGGAGCTGGGAAAGTCAGCTGGGGTGTAGGAAAGGAACATGAAGGGGCAGCTTCTGGTTTATCACACAGAGAAGCTAGAGGGATAAGCAGTGGTATGGGATTAAAAAGGACTTGGGAGAAGCCTTGGTTTTCATCAGGGGGAGTGAAAAAGACAGCATCTGACATTGGTGCTCCTAGAGATCAGACAGAAGTATAGGGAAGAGGGGGCAAAAGGAGGTCTTGGAATATGAGTTACTGGGAGTGTCTAGGACTGTTCAGCCTAGTAGAAGCTCTGTGATGTGTGTGCCAGAAAAGAACAAAAAAGGGCCTTTGGGCTCTACCTGGGGTCAACATTTGCTCACCAAGGCCAGCTCAGGATCAGCACTGGGATCTACTCCAAATTCAAAGTCACTGGCACCAAGACCCAGCATGGCACCACCTTCGCCAGCCAAAATTGGAGAACTGATGAGAGCATCAGCCAAGCTGGGCCCAGGAGGCACTGTCACCAGATGAGAACCGGTTCCATCTTTGCCATTCAACGTGTTTACAAAGGCTGTCAGCTTTTCTGTGTTCACCTCCTGGTGAGGAAAGAACACAGGACGCCCTCCTTCAGGCCTTGCTCCCTGTTCTTTGCCATTTCCATACTACTCTGCTACAGTGCCCACACTCCTCAGGGTTAAGGACCATTCTGTTTATAACCAAATTAAGCCAATGCCCTCCAATCAGTCCCTACTCACCTCTTCCCCAAAATTGATAATGTCAACATTTACTTTCTCCTTCTTGAGGCGTTTAGCCAGTTTCACCAGCTGGGAAGAAGGGGAGAAAAATCAAGAAATCTGTTCCATACTCGAGGGGGGAAAGGACCTGCCGCATAAAAGCATACAGAACTCTATTGACCTCCCCAAGGTCCTACAACAGAAAAACTGAATTCTCCACATTCACCTTTCCCCAAAGTCATGAGCCTGATGCCTCCGCCAGGTTCTCCTCAGGGATGAAAGACCTCAGTCCCAAACACTGGCTGCCCACATTCCCCAGCTGCCACTTGGACTCACATCCTTCTCATTGTCCTCCACCGGGCTTCCCACAAAGGCAATGATGCGCATCTTGTGATTCTTGCCTTGTCGGTGCTTCAGAGCCAGCTTGTAAAGGGAGAGGAAGTTCTCAGAGTCAACCAGAGAAATCACTCAGCTCTTTCCTCTGTCACTTGGTTCCGTTTTCTTACAGTTTCTTTGTACCTCAAGTATACCATCTACCATCACGCTCACACAAGATTTAACACCCCCAATTCCTCCCTTTTTGCTATGACTCTCTGTGCATAAAGAAGGGAGGTTAAGGGAGGTTAATTCTCCTTTTCTTTTTTTTTTTTTGAGATGGAGTCTCGCTCTGTCACCCAGGCTGGAGTGCAGTGGCACGATCTCGGCTCACTGCAACCTCCACCTCCTGGGTTCCAGCGATTATCCTGCCTCAGCCTCCCGAGTACTGGCCAATTTTTATATTTTTAGTAAAGATGGAGTTTTACCACGTTGGGCAGACTGGTCTCGAACTCCTGACCTCAGGTGACCCTCCTAAAGTGCTGGGATTACAGGTGTGAGCCACCGCAGCCAGCCTTTTTTTTTTTTTTTTTTTTAAAAAAAAAAAAAAAGAAACACGGTCTCGCTATGTGCCCAGGTCTTAAACTGCTGGCCTTCAGCAATCCTCCTCCCTTGGCCTCCCAAACTGCTGGGATTACAGGCATGAGCTACCACACCCAGCCTTAATTCTCAATTCTAGGGATTTTTCCCCTTACAACCCTCAACTACCCTTGACTCATCCCCCATATCCTTTCTATGCCAAGTTAACTTTCTCTTGCTCTGGTCCTAGCTCAGGAATCCAGGGGAGAAATAAGTATGATGGAGGCAGGACCTCAGAGCAGGGAGAAACAGTCCAGAGAACCCAGTAGGACTCACATGGGCCACGCGGATGCCAGTGCAGAAGGTGATCTTGCCCTTGGGCTGGACAGTGTGCAGCTTGGACAGGATACGGCCAGTGTCTGGGGTGAGTGTGGTCAGCACTTCACAGTCACTGGGATGTAGGAAAAGCATTTCAGTGAGTTCAGGTCAGCACAACTACCTCTAAACTGTGTCTGAGTTTTCTTTAAAGACCTGTATAATAACCACTGTTTCTATTCTAACTGTAATCTCTATTCTTCTTTTTTATTTTTTGAGACAAAATCTTGCTCTGTCACCCAGGCTGGAGTGCAGTGGCACAATCTTGGCTCACTGCAATCTCCGCCTCCTGGGTTCAAGGGATTCTCCTGCCTCAGTCTCCTGAATAGCTCGGATTACAGATGTGCACCACCATGCCCGGCTAATTTTTGTATTTTTAGTAGAGACAGGGTTTTGCCATGTTGGCCAGGCTGGTCTCAAACTCCTGACCTCAAGTGATCCGTCTGCCTTGGCCTCCCAGAATGCAGGGATTACAGGTGTGAGCCACTGTGCGTGGCCTCTATTCTTCTTAATCAAATATCTAGTATTTAATGGAAACCAAGCACAGAAATAATTAAGTGGTTGGCTTTGCAAGAAACCTGCCCTCTACTTCCAAATGTTTTCCCCTAACTCCTTTTAAAGGCTCACAGGGCCCTGAGAATCCACCAAAATAACGATGCTACTTTGTATCTCTCCTGTCTTCTCCACCTCCAGACCCATTTTCCCAGCTAACAGTATATACACTGGAGTGGGAGGCTACTCATTTAAGAATTATCAATTCCTAAAACAAAACACTTTTAGGGTAAAAGGATGTGTGATATATGCCTAGGGGCTCTGATCCAAAAATTTCTTTTTTCTCTTTTTTTTTTTTTTGAGATAGAGTCTCATTCTGTCACCCACGCTGGTGTGCAGTGGTATGATCTCGGCTCACTGCAACCTCCGCCTCCCGGGTTCAAGCGATTCTCCTGCCTCAGGCTCCTGAGTAGCTGAGATTACAGGTACCCACCACCACGCCTAGCTAATTTTTGTACTTTTAGTAGAGACAGGGTTTTGCCCTGTTACCCAGGCTGGTCTCAAACTCCTGGGATTACAGGCGTGAGCCACTGCGCCCAGCCCAAAATCACTTTTCACTGACTTTAAAATATATTATGAAATTTCACCCCTTACCCTAGCCCTGCCCAACAAACAAAAAAAAGAAACAGAAATTTCACCCCAGGAGATTTAGCTTCTGTACTGTATTAAATTAAACCGAGCACGTTAATACAAAAAACAAGTTGCTATTAACATTTACACTAAAAAGTGAAGAAGGCAATCTAGGAAGGTGATGGGCAAAAGCAGCCTCAAGAAATCTACAGAAGAGTAGCATGTAACAACCACCCACCTACTGAGTCCCCTCCTCCTCTGTCCCCCATACTTAGCCAGTGTGATAAGGCCCACGTTGTTCTCGGGGTTGCTGCGGGTCTTTGAATGACAAACTATGTTGACAGCGTCCTGCTGGGCCTGCAGCCGGGTGGGTAAGAAGTCTCCATTCCGCATATACTCACTGTTGTCCACACTGTCAGATTAGGGTTGAAGGACAAGAGAGAAGAAATGTAGAAGTTCTCCAAAACCTTCTCTCCAGTTCCAGGGGCCCCCTATAGCAGCAGCTCTCAGTCTTCATAGAATCACCTGTAGCTCTTTTTTCCTTTTTTAAATATACAGATGATCAAGCCTTAGCCCACATTTATTGACTCAGAATAATCAATGAGGAATTTTTTTTTTTTTTTTTTTTTGAGGCAGGGTCTTGCTCTGTCACTCAGGCGGAGTGGTGCACTCATGGCTCACTGCAGCATCCACCTCCTGGGCTCAAGTGATCCTCTCACCTCAGCCTCCCAAGTAGCTGGGATTATAGGTGTGAGCCACCACGCCCAGCTACTTTTTAAATTGTTTTGTAGAGACAGGGGTCTAAATATGTTGCCCAAGCTGGTCTTGAACTTCTGAGCTCAAGTGATCCTCCTGCCTCTACCTCCCCAAGTGCTGGGATAACACGTGTGAGCCACCTGTTATCTGTGTTTCAGATAATCACCTGTTTCACCTGTGCTCAGCCAAAAAAATTTTTAAATCTTTACAAAGTGATTCTGATGAGCTCCAAAGGTGGTGATCTACTGATGAACCACAGCACCTTCTTATAAGCTGCACTTAAGTGCTACTAAGCTTTGTCATGGATAAATAATTTAACCCTCCCATTAAATGGCAGTAATCCAAATACAAGAAATGAAGAAGGTAACTTAAAAATATCTATAGCTGGGCGTGGTGGCTCATGTCTGTAATCCCAGCACTTTGGGAGGCCGAGGCGGGCAGATCACCTGAGGTCAGGAGTTCGAGACCAGCCTGACCAACATGTAGAAACACTGTCTCTACTAAAAATTAAAAATTAGCTGGGCATGGTGGCACATGCCTGTAATCCCACCTACTCGGGAGGCTGAGACAGGAGAATCACCTGAACCCAGGAGGTGGAGGTTGCGGTGATCATGCCATTGCACTGTAGCCTGGGCAACAAAAGCAAAACTTCATCTCAAAAAAAAAAAAAAAAAAAAAAAAATTTATAAAATAGGCTGGGCATGGTGGCTTATGCCTGCAATCCCAGCACTTTGGGAGGTGGAGGCAGGTATATCACTTGAAGTCAGGAGTTCGAGTCCAGTGTTGGCTAACATCGTGAAACCCCGTCTCTACTAAAAATACAATAATTAGCGAGGCGTGGTGGTACACACTTGTAGTCCCAGCTACTCAGGAGGCTGAGGCAGGAGAATTGCTTGAACCCGGGAGGCCAAGGTTGCAGTGAGTTGAGATCACACCACTGCACTCCAGCCTGGGCAACAAAGTGAGACTCCATCAAAAAAAAAAAAAAAAATCTATAAAGTAGGGCCAGGCGTGGTGGCTCACACCTGTAATCCCAGCACTTTGTGGGGCCGAGGCGGGCAGATCACTTGAGCTCAGGAGTTTGAGACCAGATTGGCAAACATGGTGAAACTCCATCTCTACTAAAAAATATAAAAATTAGCCAGGGGTGGTGGCGGGCGCCTGTAATCCCAGCTACTTGGGTAACTGAGGCAGAAGAATCACTTGAACCCGAGAGGTGGAGGTTGCACTGAGCCGAGATCGTGCCACTACCTAAAAAAAAAAAGTCTATAAAATAACACACACTTGGCAGCACTGAATGCAGAAAAGTACAATCCAATCATCTCATTAAATGCTTAACAGCTTCGACAGCTGAACTGAATAGTAAAAATGAGGTTTTGTGGATCTGAAGTCTCACCTTAGATTCCTGCAACTTTTCATAATCTAAAAGCATCCAGATAATGTGAAACATAATCTCGAGTTTCTCAAAGACCAAAAGAAGGCAGGTAAGTGATGCAGTTATATAAGCTCCTATAAGGATCAATTCTTGATGACCTCTGAGGTCCCTAAGAGCTCTAATAGTTAAGGTTCTACCTGTGCTAACGGATGGAAGCAGTGCCCTAGATGAGATACCTCATTTCTTTCTTTTTTTTTCTTTCTTTCTTTTTTGAGACAGAGTTTCGCTCTTGTTGCCCAGGCTGGAGTGCAATGGCACAATCTTGGCTCACTGCAACCTCCGCCTCCGAGGTTCAAGCAATTCTCCTCCCTCAGCCTCCCAAGTAGCTGGGATAACAGGCATGCACCACCACGCCCCGCTAATTTTGTATTTTTAGTAGAGGCAGGGTTTCTCCACGTTGGTCAGGCTGGTCTCGAACTCCCAACCTTAGATGATCCACCCATGTCAACCTACCAAAGTACTGGGATTACAGGTGTGAGCCACTGCACCTGGCCTTCATTTCTTCTTTTTAAAATTTTATCTATTTTTTAGGCTGGGCATGGTGGCTCACATCTGTAATCCCAGCACTTTGGGAGGCCGAGAAGAGAGAATTGCTTGAGCCCAGGAGTTGGAGAACAGCCTGGACAACACAGGGAGACCCAGTCTCTACAAAAAGAAAAATTTTCATTTATTTTTCATTTTACAGAGATAGAGTCTCACTTTGTTGCCCAGGCTAGTCACAAACTCCTAGACTCATGCAGTCCTCCTGCCTTGGCCTCCCAAAGTGCTGGGATTATAGGTGTGAGCCACGGCACCTGGCCAAGACATCTCATTTCTATTGGCAAGAAAAATATGAGCTTGTGTCAATTTTTTTTCTTTAGTATACTTTGTCTGGCAATAAATCAAAAATGGTAAAGAGAGGTAATTAAGAAGGTACTAGAAAACAAGTATTAATAGAAAAGGGAATACAGATTGAGTACACCTAATCAGAAACGATTGAGATCCAAAATGCCCCAAATCAGAAAGTTTTTGAGTGCTGACATGATGTTTAAAGGAAATTATCGGCCGGGCGCGGTGGCTCAAGCCTGTAATCCCAGCACTTTGGGAGGCCGAGACAGGCGGATCACGAGGTCAGGAGATCGGGACCATCCTGGCTAACACGGTGAAACCCCGTCTCTACTAAAAAATACAAAAAAAAAAAAAAAAAAAAAAAACTAGCTGGGCGAGGTGGCGGGCGCCTGTAGTCCCAGCTACTCGGGAGGCTGAGGCAGGAGAATGGTGTGGACCCGGGAGGCGGAGCTTGCAGTGAGCTGAGATCCGGCCACTGCACTCCAGCCTGGGAGGCAGAGCGAGACTCCATCTCAAAAAAAAAAAAAAAAAAAAAAAAAAAAGGAAATTATCACTGGAGCACTTCAGACCTCCCGATTAGGAATACTCCCCTGGTTAAGTATAATGTAAATATTCCAAAATCTGACAAAAATCCAAAATCCGAAACACATCTGGTCCTAGCCATTTCAGATAGGGAATACTCAACCTGTCTAGGATAGTGTTGAGGCACAGTTTCAAGCACAGGCACAGGTTCAAACACAGTCATAGCTCACTGTAGCCTCAACCTCCCAGGCTCAATAGATCTTCCCACCTCAACCTCCCGAGTAGCTGGGACCACAGACATGCATCACCACACCGGCTACTTTTTGTATTTTCAGTAGAGACGGGGTTTCACTGTGTTGGCCAGGTTGGTTTTGAGCTCCTGACCTCAGATGATCCGCCTGCCTCAGCCTGTCAAAGTGCTGGGATTACAGGTATGAGCCACCGCACCTGGCCATTTCACATATTTTTTGAGACAGGATCTTGCTCTGTCACCCAGGCTGGAGAGCAGTGGTGAAATCACAGCTCACTGTAACCTCAAACTCCTGGGCTTAACCCTTCCTCCTGCCTCAGCCTCCTAAGTAGCTGGGATTACCGCCAAAACCTTTATTTTAAAAGAGAATACAGGCTGGGTGTGATGGCTCATGCCTATAATCCCAGCACTTAGGGAGGTCAAGGAGGGAGGCTCTCCTGAGCCGCCCAAGAATTCAAGACCAGCCTGATCAGTATGGCAAAACCCCATCTCTACAAAAAATACAAAAATTAGCTGAGCATGGTGGTGTGTGCCTATAGCCCCAGCTATTCAGGAGGCTGAGGCAGGAGGATCAATTGAGCCCTGGAGGTCGAGGCTGCAGTGAGCCAAGATCACACCACTGCACTCCACCCTAGGTAACAGAATGAGACCCTGTCTCCCAAAAAAAAAAAAAAAAAGGCACACTCAAAAAGGGTAATACAATGGCACATGCGTAGGGCAGTCACATCAACAGCAGGTTCCCCATGATGCCCCACATGGGGCCAAGAACTATGTGCATACTGCCGGGAGTGGTGACTCACGCCTGTAACCCCAGCACTTTGGAAGGCTGAGGAGGGCGGATCACCAGGTCAGGAGTTCGAGACCAGTCTGACCAACATGGAGAAACCCCGTCTCTACTAAAAATACAAAATTAGAGGGGCATGGTGGCACATGCCTGTAATCCCAGCTACTAGGGAGGGTGAGGCAGGACAATCGCTTGAACCTGGGAGGCAGAGGCTGTGGTGAGCCAAGATCGCGCCATTGCACTGCCGCCTGGGCAACAAGAGCGAGACTGGGTCTCAAAAAAAAAAAAAAAAAAAAAAAGAACTACATGCATACTGCCACAAAAATAATAAAATACCTTGGCTGGACACGATGGCTCACGCCTGTAATGTCAGCACTCTGAGACACTGAGGCGGGCGGATCACCTGAGGTCAGGTGTTCGAGATCAGCCTGACCAATATGATGAAACCCCATCTCGCTGGGCGCGGTGGCTCAAGCCTGTAATCCCAGCACTTTGGGAGGCTGAGACGGGCGGATCACGAGGTCAGGAGATCGAGACCATCCTGGCTAACACGGTGAAACCCCGTCTCTACTAAAACAATACAAAAAACTAGCCGGGCGAGGTGGCGGGCGCCTGTAGTCCCAGCTACCCGGGAGGCTGAGGCAGGAGAATAGCGTAAACCCGGGAGGCGGAGCTTGCAGTGAGCAGAGATCTGGCCACCGCACTCCAGCCTGGGTGACAGAGCGAGACTCCGTCTCAAAAAAAAAAAAAAAAGAAACCCCATCTCTACTAAAAATACAGAAAAAAAATTACCCGGGCATGGTGGCAGGCGCCTGTAATCCCAGCTACTCTGGAGGCTGGGACAGGAGAATCCCTCGAACCTGGGAGGCGGAGGTTGCAGTGAGCCGAGATGGCACCACTGCACTCCAGCCTGGGCAACAAGAGCGAGACTCCATCTCAGAAAAACAAACAAAACAAACAAAAAAAAACAAACCTAGGAATACAACTAACCAGGGAGATGAAAGATCTCTACAATGAGAATTACAAAATACTGCTCAAATAAAGAAGATACAAACAAGTGGAAAAACATCCCATGCTCATGAATAGGAAGAATCAGTATCATTAAAATGGCCATACTGCCAGGCATGGTGGCTCACACCTGTAATTCAAGCACTTTGGGAGGCCGAGGTGGGCAGGTCACTTGAGGCCAGGAGCTCAAGACCAGGCCGGCCAACATGGCCAAATCCCATCTTTGCTAAAAATACAAAAAATAAGCCAGGTATAATGGCAGGTGCCTGGAATCCTAGCTACTTGGAAGGCTGAGGCACAATAATCACTTGAACCTGGGAGGCGGAGGTTGCAGTGAGCTGAGATCACACCACTGCACTCCAGCCTGGGCGACAGAGCAAGACTCTGTCTTATAAATAAATAAATAAATAAACAAACAAACAAGCCATACGGCCCAAAGCAATTTACAGATTCAATGCTACTCCTATCAAACTACCAAGGACATTCTTCAAAGAACTAGAAAAAACTATTTGAAAATTCATATGGAACCAACAAAGAGCCGGAAAAGTCAAGGCAATCCTAAGCTAAAAGAACAAAGCTGGAGGCAACTTTACCCAACTTCAAACTACTACTACAGGACTACAATAACCAAAACCATACGGTATTGGTACAAAAACAGGCACAGAAACCAATGGGACAGAATAGAGAGTCTAGAAATAAGGCTGCACACCTATGACCATCTGCTCTTGGACAAAGCTGACAAAAGCAGTGAGGAGAAAGAGTCCCTATTCAATAACTGGTGCTGGGATAACTGGCTAGCCATATGCAGAAGATTGAAGATGGACCCCTTTCTTAAACCATACACAAAAATTAACTGAAGATGGATTAAAGACTTACTGTAAAACTCAAAACTATAAAAATCCTGGAAGATGGGCCGGGCACAGTAGCTCACGCTTATAATCCCAGCACTTTGGGAGGCTCAGGCGGGTGGATCACCTGAGGTCAGGAGTTTGAGACCAGCCTGACCAACATGGAGAAACCCTGTCTCTACTAAAAACACAAAATTAGCTAGGTATGGTGGCACATGCCTGTAATCCCAGCTACTCGGGAGGCTAAGGCAGGAGAATCGCTTGAACCCGGGAGGTGGAGGTTGCGGTGAGCCGAAGGTTGCAGTGAGCCAAGATTGTGCCATTGCACTCCAGCCTGGGCAGTAAGAACAAAAAAAAAAAGTGGGCAAAGGAGCCAGGCGTGGTGGCTCAACACCTGTATTCCCTGAAGTTTGGGAGGCTGGGGCGGGTGGATCATCTGAGCTCAAGAGTTTGAAACCAGCCTGGCCAACATGATGAAATCCCGTCTCTACTAAAAATACAAAAAATTAGCTGGGCGTGGTGGTGGACACCTGTAATCCCAGTTACTCAGGAGGCTGAGGCAGGAGAATCACTTGAACCCAGGAGGCGGAGGTTGCAGTGAGCTGAGATGGCACCACTGCACTCAACCTGGGCAAGAAGGGCAAAACTCCATCTCAAAAAGAAAAAAAAAATGTGGGCAAAGGACATGAACAGACATCAGATACTTTATTTTTATTTATTTATGTATTTATTTGAGAGGGAGTCTCACTCAGTCGCCCAGGCTGGAGTGCAGTGGCACCATCTCGGCTCACTGCAACCTCCACTTCTGGGGTTCAAACGATTCTCCCACCTCAGCCTCCGAAGTAGCTGGGACTGCAGGCGCCCACCACCGCGCCTGGCTAAATTTTGTATTTTTAGTAGAAACAGGGTTTCACCATGTTGGCCAGGCTAGTCAGGAACTCCTGACCTCAGGTGATACACCCACTTCGGCCCTCCAAAGTGCTGGGATTACAGACCTGAGCCACCAAAAGAAGACATACTATACGGCCAACAAGCATATGAAAAAAACCTCAGTATCACTGATCATTAGAGAAATGCAAATAAATCAAAACCACAATGAGATACCACCTAACACCAGTCAGAATGGCTATCCTAAAAAGTCAAAAAAGAAGCTGGCAAGGTTGCGAGAAAAGAGAACACTGGTATACCGTTGGTGCAAGTGTAAATTAGTTCAATCATTGAGTTCACTTGAACCCAGGAGGCGGAGGCTGCAGTGAGCCGGATTGGGCCACTGCACTCCAGTTCGGGCGACAGAGCGAGACCGTCTCAAAAAAAAAATTATTCATCGTTTATCTGAAATTCAAATTTCACTGGGCATCCTGTATGTTACCTGGCAACGCTATGCTCCCCCAAAAAACTAAAAAGACGAAATCTCATAGGTGTCTGTCTCACCCAATTGGTGATTTGTGTTCGTCAACTATTCTGTATTACATTCAATGATTACAGGTAGAAGAAACTCTTGCAATCCTGCAAAAATTTATGTCCTCCCCATCTAATGTGACTCCTAATAGGTACTCAGCCCAAGCCTGAGACTGGCGAAGACAGCTATCTCACCGGATAAAGCCTTTGTGTCAGACAGCCCTGGGTTTAAATCTTGACTCCACCACTTAACTAGCTGTGTGATTTTGGACAAATCACTCAAAATCGCTGAGACTCGGTATCCTGAACCGTAAAACGGAGAGATAATTTACCTTAAGGTGTGGTTGTGAGGTTTAAGTGAGATAAACAAAATGACTGATACATAAAAAGCAATCTGTAAATGGTACCTTTGAAGATGACACAGGGAAAGGTAATGAAGTTAGAGACGAGGGAATGGGGAGAGGAAGGGATTAATCATCTATTTTTCTAATAGACATTATTTTGCGAAGAAAGGAGGGCAGAAAACTATTACGATGAGTCCGAGAAGCAGAACTGTGGCTAAGGACAGACCCAGGCTGCTCTAGAGAAGACGGCGCTAGAACAGAGAAAGGCAGCAGGAATGACCGGTCAATGACCGTCCCCCTGGGGGTGAGAGGGGTAACCAGGGACTGTCTGCCACTCCACGGCCCCGGGATGACTCAGGGACTCCAGCGGGCTCCTAACCTCCGGGCCCAGGGCCGCCTCTCGCCCATAAGCCCCCGGCCCCCACCCCAGGCCCGCCCTGCCTTGGCGCCACACGCGCCCGGGACCCAACTGTGCCCCTCCTGCCCCGAGGTAGCTCCTCACCACACCATAGTGCTTTCCAACACCATCTTGCCACCTTCCTCCCTCCCGACCGGTTCTCCGGGACGGCCTAACAACAACTCCTCCAATTGGCCCATCGCTCTTCACCAATCACAGACCTCGGCTTGTCCAGCAGCTTCCGCCTCCGTCCCCCGTGTTGCGTTCTGGGAGTTGTAGGCGCCGCCAAACAAATGGGCTTCTTGTGGGTAGTTGAAGGGAATCGCGGTAACACAACAGGATCTAGCCTCTACTTTCCCTGCCATTGCAGTTCTCAGTTGGGGTTTCCCGCTGGCCGGATCTCAGAGGAGCTATGGAGGAACCATTGAAAGTGCTGTGTCGGTTCCAGCTTCGTCATTTTAAAAAAGTGTCGGGATCGGCCGAGCGCGGTGGCTCACGCCTGTTATTCTAGCACTTTGGGAGGCCAAGGCGGGCGGATCACGAAGTCAGGAGTTCGAGACCAGCCTGACCAGCATGGTGAAACCCTGTATCTACTAAAAATAGAAAAAATTAGCCAGGCATGGTGGCGCACGCCTGTAATCCCAGCTATTCGGGAGGCTGAGGCAGGAGAATTACTTGAACCCGGGAGACGGAGATTGCAGTGAGCCGAGATTGCACCACTGCACTCAAGCGTGGGCAACAGACTGAGACCCCATCTTAAAAAAAAAAAAAAAAACTAGCCAGGCATAGTGGCGGGCGCCTGTAATCCCAGCTACTCTGGAGGCTGAGGAAGGAGAATCGCTTGAACCCGGGAGGCAGAGATTGCACTGAGCAGAGATCACGCCACTGCATTCCAGCCTGAGGGACAGAGTGAGACTCCGTCTCAAAAATGTAGAGATCACTCATGACTTTCTACAGCCCTCAGTTCCCTGTAGAATTTTAATTCAACAAGCCCTTATACCTTTGAATTGAATTTATTTGTATATTTATCTCCTCCCCCATTTAACTAAGGGTAGGCAACGTGTTTTTTTTTGTTTTTTTTTTTTTGAGATGAAGGAGTCTGGCTCTGTCACCCAGGCTAGAGTGCAGTGTCTCGATCTAGGCTCACTGCAACCTCTGCCTCCTGGGTTCCAGCGATTCTCCCGCCTCAGCCTCCCAGGTAGCTGGGACTACAGGGGCGTGACACCATGACCGGCTAATTTTGTATTTTTAGTAGGAACAGGGTTTCACCACGTTGGCCAAGCTGGTTTCGATCTCTTGACGTCAGTTGATCCACCCGCCTCAACTTCCCAAAGTGTTGGGATTACAGGCGTGAGCCACCACACCTGGGCAGCAACGTGTCTTAATCTTTACAATTCCCTAAGCCCAGTAGAGAGCCCAGAAAAGATTTGACAACTCAATTATATTAACTAATCTCCCAAAGAACAAACTACTAAACCATTTTGGTTTGTTAATCAAAAATTACATGTAAGGCCTGATGCAATGGCTTAGGTTTTATAATCCCAGCGTTTTGGGAGTCCCAGGCAGGAGGATCAACTCAGGCTAGGAGTTTGAGACCAGCCTGGATAACACAGCCAGACTCCATCTCTACAAAATTTTATTGTTTGAGACAGGGTGTTGCTCTTTCGCCCAGACTGGAGTGCAGTGGCCTGATCTCGGCTCACTGCAATCTCCACCTCCAGGGTTCAAGCAATCCTCCTGCCTCAGCCTCCTGAGTAGCTGGGGCTATAGGTGCATGCCACCAAGCCCGGCTAATTTGTTTTTAATTTTTTGATGTGAGAGGATGAATTGAGCGCAGGAGTTCGAGACCAGCATAGGCAATATAGTGAGACCCCATCTCTGGAAAAAAAAAAGTCTCAAAGTGTTGGGATTACAGGTGTGAGCCATCACATCAGCTGGATATTTGATGTTAAATAATTTTTTTAGGCATGATAATAGTGTTAAAGTTGTCACCATTATAAAAGGAATCTTTATTAAGGGTTATATGTTATATTCATAGACAAAAAAAGTATATGAAGTTTGGGATTTAATCCTTTGGAAGAAACAAATTGTTTTGTTTTTTGAGACAAGGTGTTAAATAAAACAAAAGAGACAAGGTCTCACTGGGCTGGAGTGCAGCAGTGGTGCAATCATATATAGCTCATTGCAACCTCAAACTCTGGGCCTCCCATCTCAGCCTCCAAAAGCTGGGATTACAGGCTTGAGCCACTGCACCCGGCCACACTGGCCTTTTATGTTGATAATTATTGAAGCTGGGTTATGTGTACACAGTGGTTCACCATACTACTCTACTTTTGGTTTGGAAATTTCCATAATGAAAAATAAAGGCCAGCTGGGCATGGTGGCTCACACCTATAATACCAGCACTTTGAGAGGCCGAGGTGGGCAGATCACTTGAGGTAGGGAGTTCAAGACCAGCCTGGATACCCCCATTGCAACAAAAAAATACAAAAATTAGCTGGTTGTGATGGTGCGGGCCTGTAGTCCCAGCTACTTGAAAGGTTAAGGTAGGACAGTCGCCTGAGCCCAGAAGGTCAAGGCTGCAGTGAGCTGGGATTGCTCTGGGTGATAGAACAAGACTCTAAAATAAAGAAAACCAAGGCTGGGCAATCCCAGCACTTTGGGAGGCCGAAGCAGATGGATCACGAATTCAGGAGATTGAGAAGATATTGGCCAACATGGTGAAACCCCTTCCTACTAAAAATACAAAAATTAGCCAGGCATTGTGGTGGGTGCCTATAGTCCCAGCTACTCTGGAGGCTGAAGCAGGAGAATCCCTTGAATCCAGGAGGCGAAGGTTGCAGTGAGCCAAGATCGTGCTATTGTACTCCAGCCTGGGCAACAAGAGTGAAACTCCGTCTCAAAAAAAGAAAAAAAGAAAAACTAATAAAGAATGAGACTTCATCTCTGAATACTTTTCAGAATAGCTGAGATTGACATGCTTAAGAGTAAAATGTCAGACCAGATGATGATTTCCAACTTTATTATCCTATGATTTTAATTTCTCTTTTAGTTAGAAGTTTTATACTAATAGACCCTACTTGTATCTGAATATAAATTAGAAGATATAGCTAGAGAATAAGCGCTAGTCGCTGCTCACCACTAGAGGGACCCTCTGATCATAAGAGGATTATCTACACCACCCCACTCAGTAGTTGAGTACACTCTGAATGACAAGGTCAGGGAAGCAGAACATTTATGCCTAAAACATGTTAACCTCCAATTTCTATTAGGGAAAAAAGTGTTCTCCTTATTCAGACAAAAGGAGGACTGGCTGGGCTGTGGGAAAATCAAATTCAAAACTTTGAGAATCTGGACTGGGTGTGGTAGCTCACGCCTGTAATCCCAGCACTTTGGGAGGCTGAGGCGGGCAAATCACTTGAGGCCAGGAGTTTGAGACCAACCTGGCAAACATGGTGAAACTCTGTCTCAAAAAAAAAAAAAAAAAAAAAAAAAAGAAAGAAAGAAAGAAAAAGAAAAAGAAACTTTGAGAATCCCCATTCCTCTTCCAATCCAAGTACGTGCTTTTCCTTTTTTTTTTTTTTTTTTGAGACAGAGTGTCCCTCTGTTGCCAGGGTGGAATGCAATGAATGGTGCAATCTCAGCCACTACAACCTCTGCCTCCTGGGTTCAAGTGATTCTTCTGTCTCAGCCTCCCAAGTAGCTGGGATTACAGGCACCTGCCACCATGCCTGGCTAAGTTTTTTTTTTTGAGAAGGAGTTTCGCTCTTGTTGCCCAGGATGGAGTACAATGGCTCGATCTTGGCTCACCGCAACCTCTGCCTCTCAGGTTCAAGAGATCATCTTGACTCAGCATCCTAAGTAGCTGGGATTACAGGCGTGCACCCACCACGCCCGGCTAATTTTTTCTATTTTTAGTAAAGACGGGTTTTCTCCATGTTGGTCATGTTGGTTCTCCATGTTGGTCAAACTCCCAACCTCAGGTGATCTGCTCGCCTCGTCATCCCAAAGTGCTGGGATTACGAGTGTGAGCCACCACACCTGGCCTAATTTTTGTATTTTTAGTAGAGATGGGGTTTCACATTGTTGACCGGGCTGCTCTTTAACTCTTGGCCTCAAGTGGTCCACCTGCCTTGGCCTCCCAAAGTGCTGGGATTACAGATGTGAGCCACTGGACCCAGCCAATCCTCTATTAATTCTGATGAAACTTTGTTAGTCTCTCAATTATTTTGTATCACATCCTATTAGGCTCAATTATTTTGTATCACATCCTATTAGGGGCAAAAAATATTTCAGGGTTCCCAATATTGCCTCTAACTATACCTATTCCAATATTCTCACCATGATCTCCTCCTTGTTCTCAAAAACAGGCCATTCTCGTGCATCTAGTCCTTGTGCTGGAAGTGAAACATTCTCTAACACTTTTATCCCACATAACTGTCAATTTTTCCCCTTTATGTTCTGTGCCACCTTCAGACAGCTTAAGTAGCTGTCTCACATATAATACATTGTTTTTGTGTATTTGTGTTCCTCCCGGAAACTAGAAACTCTTGAAGGACAATTATTTCTTTGATCTCCAACTACTCCATGCATTGCAATTTCTATGATCTTCTAAGAGTGACACCCTAGGGCCAGGTCAAGGGAATGAAAGGGAGGGAATCACTAAGGCCAGCAACCTCAAACTTACCTTTTCCCACTGTCCCCCTCCTTTCTTCTTAAACCTGAGTAAAATGAGTTTTGAATCTCCAAATCCCTGTTAAACTGGGTTGCAACCTAGGCAAGAGACCTACAGTAATTCCCCTCATATTCATTCACTGCTTTTCCTTGTGAAGACAATGGGGTTGCTGAGGAAGAGGACATACGGACATACAGCCTTAAGAGTGAAGCTGCAGTGTTGCAAGCTGGAAAGTATGCAGCCTTTGTTTAGGGCAACACGAACAAAACTGAGCCTGGGTGGTGGAGTAGGAGGGTGAGCAGATGGTATATGAAAAAGAATCAGAAGAAATAAGAGATCTAAATAACCGATTAAAGTTTATTACATTAAAACCATGTATCACTTTTATATTGTATTTGCCATTTCTGAACAATACAAAGTAAAGGCAAATAGTGACACTTCATAAAAATGTTGATTCCCCATTCCTTTCCCTAAGACCCAGCCCTCCCTTAAAATATTCCCTCCCACCCCTAACAGAACTGTGTCCTTAATAAAACACTTAAATAC